TTTATTAATGCAAACAAGAAACTAAAATTACAACGTTGCCAGTAAACGGCCGCCTGGCTGCGTCGAGATAACTCCTGAGTATGCACCTTTGACCGTCTGTGTGTATTGTGCTGACTGTGCTGTGAATTAGGAATAGGCACACAACGATAGATATACCCACAATCCCAACGCAGCCAGGCCGTTGGCAACGCAACCAGTAACTTAAAAAAAAACGCTTAAACACGTGAATTGATTTTACATTGGATGTATTTATTGCCAATAAAATGAAATTTTATTCTTCAACCCTTTAGCTGCAACTCTACCCAACTTTTTTTTTTTTCAAATGAAAAGGTATGTTGTAGGTCATTGAAAAGCTCGTGAAAAATGGAATCTCACCCTATTTTTTTTTTTTTTTTTTCTTTTACTTATGTGGTTATTGGAAAATGAGAAAAAATTCTTTTAAAAACAAAAAAATTAGAAATAGGGTATAGTGAAATTCCATTTTTCCCTACAAACGACATATCTTTGCATTTGAATGTGCTTAATGTAGGAATTTATATGTGTTTATTATTGTCAATATAGATTTACTAATTGCGGTCCTGAAAAAAATGTTGCTTATCTCAATCATTTCGCCTTATTTGCTTTCCAATTTTTGGCATTTCTAACACACTTTCGCGGGTTTTTTTATCTACAGGAGGACAAGAGACCTTCATTTTATGAATTTTCACTAAACAACTCTTATTGTTTTGTTATTATATACCAGAAAACAGTAATTAACTATGCACGTGTTGTTACAAACTGACTATAGCTACCATACTGGCTTAACTACTTGTTATTGGCTGAAAGTGACTTTGCTACTTTTGTTATATCAAATCTGGAGATTGCTGTTTCTGATACAAACTTACAACTTTGCTGAATAGTTTTAACGACTTATTTCTGTTTTTGTTACAAAATGAGATCTGTTATTTCAATAAACAAACATTCCAAACCGGTACGACACAAAAAGCTTCAATTGGAAAATTTGGAGTTTGCTGGTTTTGATATTAGACCCCTGATTTTACATGTTTGGTTATTAAGAGCAAAAAATATAAAAAATGTCAAGACAGAAATGAGAACATGGTTTATCTTCTAGTCAAAGCAAAAAGCGAAAAATAACGCAGCTAAAAATTAACTTTACTTTGCAACTAGCAACAAAAACCACGAGACGAGAGATCAAATTTGATTTAAAAGAAAGATTTAAGTTTGTTATTTTTATGAAAACCGGAAACGGGAAACAGGAACAAATCCATAGCCGTTCTTTCATTCCACATAAGCTCGATGATCACGTGACTAAAAATCTAGCTCTACTCCGCTCCGAGAGGTACTTTTCAAACGTAGCAATAATAGAGTTTTAGCACTTTCCCGCTAACGCTAACGTTAGACTTTCGAAATGCTATCTGCGCATGCGTAAGTGTAAAGTTACGGGTCGAAAATCTAGCGGAACACGTTAGACAGTAGATGTTTTAAAGTGACACTTTATACGAAATGAGGACTTCCTATTGGATGAATTTTTTGACATTTCGGAGTTAAAATAAATAAAGAGAACTGACTTGTTTAGACTTGTTTTTAAATAAGACGTTTTGTGATTTGGACTTGTTTTAATCCATATTTTTTGTTATTAGTGTGAAAATCGACACATACACCAACTATTATACTTTTTATTTGAATTATAATTAGGTGTAGTAGAACGACTTCAATAATTAAAATGTATTGCAATCAACAAATAAGTAATGTACACCATAAACACTAAACACTCACTCCTAAAAATTCAAAATTTAAAAAATAGTTAACGTTGACAGATGGCGATTCGTAAAAGCATCTGCTAAAACTATATTCTGTACTTGCCGTTACACTACACGTAACATCATTTTAAAAGTATCGTTAACGTTAGCGGAGATCTTACGTAAATTTGCTAAAACTCTCTAATATTAGTTATGTAAAAATATGATTTGAACAGAAATGATCGCTCATGCTTGCGTTGATTAGACAGAAATTCTGAAAATTAAAAATCGATTGTATCGATTATAATTTGAATTTAGAAACTAAGCAACTGACAAGCCAAAACACATCGCCGCACACCTCGCCATAAATTGAGAAACAAAATAATTTGTTTTTGGGCAAGCAGCTACCTGAAACTAGTTCTGTGGTTGGTTGTCTCAAGGCCACACTTCTACCACCAACCAACACCATACCATGGGACAGTAGTTTTTTATTGTAAGTTGTATTTACTGTATTACACGTTCCACCTCATACCCACTTTGGGATTGTATTAACCACCATATTAAAGCATTACTTGGAGAGTCACAATCACTGTCTCAATCTGTGTATATTTTTATTATCATTCCGGCGTATTAAAATTGAAAGACTGACAGCGATCAACGACGACGTGAACAAATCAATTATGTTTCAGAATGGCGAGTGTCTATACGTGGCGACCTGCGCGGCGATATGAGATACTCCACTATGTTTTTACCCTAAATCATAAGAAAATTAGAATTTTATTTTATTTTCGAGACAAGATCGAGAAAAAACATTCTACCTATGAAAAAAAGTGCACGCGCCGCATGTGGAGCGCACCTTTATCAGCTTGGAAGACGACCTTTGTTGTATTGTATCGGTGACAGCTTTCTTGCAACCACACATTTTTTTAATAACTTTTTGTGGGCTTATTTATGTACTTTGTTATAGAATTCAGGTGGAAGACTATATTTTCTCAACTTTATTTGTTCAAATTATCGTGTACACCAAGTTTCATCCACGCTAAAATGATTTTTTTTTTACTGGAATTGCAACCCTCCTGCAACCCCCTGTCGTAAGGGTGCGTCGAAAGACGTTCATATTAGAGTTACACATTACTTGCATAACTCCTACAAAAATAATTAAACGAAAATGACCCGGAAATTTCTGTGGTTACCTCTAGGTCTAAAACAAGGTATGGCCAACAGGTATTCCAAAACCAGCTAAAAGTTCATAGTCAGAAACACAATGAGAGTATAATCAGGAAGCGACGAAAGTAACGGAAGCATTTATGACAAACGTCATGAGACATAGAGTCCCCCTGGAATTGCATTCTGACCAATGACGAAATTTTGAATCCGAATTATGGTAAGAATTCATGAAACTGTTAGGCATCAGAAAACACGCACTACGCCTCTCCACCCACAGTTCGACGGAATGGTAGAAAGACACCATATAGAAACATACGCCAATATCTTTCAATGTTTGTCTCTGAAAATCAAAAGAACTGGGACACTTTAATTCCTCTATTTATGTTAGCCTACCGAAGTTCTAAACATGAATCGACCAGTTATACTCCATCCTTGATGATTTCTGGAAGGTATATGAAACTTTCCCATGATCTTCTTTTTGGAAGGCAGCCTCCTGGTGAAGAAGAGGGCCATAATCCTCCCACGTACATACAGAACTTAAAAGAAAAATTAGAAAAGGTATATGAATTCGCTCGGCAACGTTCAATAATGATAAAGAAAAAGCTAGAATCGACATGCATGTCACAGGGACACATTTTGAGAGAGGCAATCCAGTATGGATATACAATCCCAAGCGCCGAAAAGTACTTTGTCAGAAACTGCCACGGAACTGGGAACGCCCCTGCATTCAATTGTCAGCGGGAAGTAAATCCAAGGTAGCTCACATTGAAAAGTTAGCGCCATACCATGGTCCAGATCTGCCACGTTGGCTCCAACCAGGTCCCAGTAATCAAGTTATTCGGGACGAATAATTAGAAGAGGGAGCAATGTTACCCTGCAAACTACAGTGTGCTGCGGTCGTCATAAGTAAAAGTACGAGTATAGAAAAGTCTAGAAATGTCCAGAAATGTCGTGCCGGTTCAAGAAACATCTGGACGTTTCGAGAAGGTTCTAGAAGGGTCAAGCAAACTATATAAGTCGATGAACCTGACGTTAGAGTTTCAGTTTTATGATAGACTAGATCTTTATAGAATCAAGTTATAATGAATCTGATTTGTGAAAATAAATAAAACATTTGAAAAATGTATGTTAGAAAATAGAAATGAGGGTTAACCAAAAATCGAATAGCTCTTGTGGACATTTTAGTGAGATAGTAATTGATTCTTTGTTCCATAACACCATCCAAATTTACCCAGTATGATTCTCAGCTATTAATCAAGTACATTATGTATAGGAAAAAGTGTAGGAAATTGAGTGATATAATAAATAGAAAATTACTCGAATCAGACGAAGTTTTAAATTCTATGAATACATAATTATTTTTTTTACGATCACAAGGAATAAACCAGTAATATCCTCAAATTACGACACGATAATCTTCAAAGGATGCAGTGCGGCAGAAACAGAGATATAAAAGGTCAAAAAAAAATCAATAGGGACATGCTAAAAAATACATAAATGTGCAAATTTCTCGCAAAGTGAAACAACTATATATTTTTATTTAATAATAACCACATCAATATCAGAAATCTAATATCAAACCCACAATACTGGTAAATATTTTTCTATGCAAAGGCTAACTTTTATGATAAAGTCAATTTTCTAAATATCTAATCAGATTAAACATATTTTTATAATACAACATTCTCCTTGTTATCACTGATAAAAAATAATTGCATCATATTAAATTAACAAAAATCTTATATCAATTATTGAAAAATAGAAAACTTTTTTTATTTCTTTTTTTTTAATGTTTTGTCCTAGGTTTTCTATATTTTTAATATTATTGCGTTTATTCATAATAAATTCTCTTTATTTAAAGTTTTTCATTGTTTCCAATATAATAATATATTGTTGAATTATATAATTTTTCATAATTTATTTTTACATTATTTTCACCACATGGTTCTCTTGTAAACATTTCACTAGGCGATAATAAATATATAAATCCTCTCTTTTAACCAATATCCTGTTGATTATAGAAATTATTTTTCCTTGTAATCCAACCCCTATGTACATATGATTTAAATAAATACACTAAAATATAAACTGTACCTGTACTATCCATTTGGTTAAGTAACTGTGTGACAATGGCATCTAGACCTTCTCTGCCCCAAGCATAGTCTCCGGGGTTGCCTAAAAACAGCTGCAAATTAGCTGCTGTTCCCCAATTTACACCGACACCCAAATTTACTATGAAATCTTGCATCAAATTCTCAAACGGAACATGCTGTCTCAAATTTGAGGATGCTATTCTTGTAAGAGTTCTGTAAATAAATAAATTTTGAAAATATCAGGGTGAGATGGAAAATGTAATTTATCCTATTTTTAAATATAAAGTATACATGTCATAATGGGAGAGGGATCTTTATTTTCATTAAACGAAAATTAGTTCTATTTTTTAATTTAAACGACTGACACTGTTATAACTTTTTTCAAGAATATTACAAATACATTATCAGGCAAAGTTATCTCTCATATTTCTAAGCTTCCAAAATGTATTGTTAATGTATTGTTAATGTATTGAAAGTTATCTTAAATAAAACAGACCATTAAATATTAAATTAAAATAGAATAAAGTACTCAAAATATAGTCAAATCAAAATATCATCTAGTAATAAAAAAGAACCTCTTTCGATTAATATCCAAACACTTTTACTATTTATCAGTATCAATAATCATCAATTATATAAATTTAATTATTGCTTCGCCTACATGCAATAATTAAAGTAAATTAGGAACTTAGTAGAACCAGGCAGCATTCATTTTGTAAAAATAACACTCTTAGAAAAATAAAAGCTTTTAAACATTTCTTTAAATTGTTTCCATCATCAGGGAGCAATAAATTAAAGTAACCAAGTATTAGTGATTTTTTACATATACAGGAAGAGTGTTATTTTGCCCCACCAAATGTAAGATGTTTATTTGAAAAAACTTTTTAAAATTTAACCAAACAATGAATTACCCTTTTTTTACTTTAAGATGTGTTATTTCAATAAAAATGTAAATAAATAAAAATATAAAATGTTTTATTAATCAATGCATTAAAAATGAAGATTGTAACATCAAATGATTATCAGAAGAACCTGTTCAAGACAATCTAATTAGATTTGACTAACTGTATGCTTTTTAAATATGTATAGTTATTAATTTGTAATACTAATTTCAAATTTCTATTAACTGTTTGTATTAATCATAATTATATTAAAAAAAAATGGATGGTATATGTAAATCGAGGTTTCCTTTAGTCCATATATCATGAATGGTTAAAGATTTTGCCACGTAAATTGAGGAATTACTATTTTTTGACATAAAAAAATACCAGTGGATTGAAAACTACATTAGTCATCACGTGAATTTAAGTAATTCAATTTTTTTTTAAAATCTGGGATTGATTTAAGAATAAACAACATTTAAAACAATATGTCACTTAACCCCTCTTATTTCCATAAGAAAACATTTTTCAAAATGCTATTGACTTTCATTTTGAAACTTTCGGCTGGCATTTTCGTGTCAAAAATAATTATTTTATTCTAATGTAAACACCCCCAAATTATGAGGCAAAATCTTTAACATTTCATTCTGAATTATCAACAGCTTAAAAAAAAGTGCACTTCATACTATAATCATAACAAAATTTATGTTTATCAATAGTTATATAATGGAATTTTTTTTAAGTACAAACAGAAAGGACCGCAATATTTTTAATTAGTTTTACCTACGATTTGGTTCTGTTCCCACATAAACTTTAATGGATTTTGTGAAAATAAGTTACTGACTAGACTAGAGTCATATTTCTAAGTAAACTTCCTCAATAAGTGTGTCCAAAATAATTATATGAAGTAATGCTCAAAAAATATTTGTAAAGTAGGCCATTAAAAATATAATAATGCATGTCGGAGCATACAATTCATTTACTTTTTAACTGTCAGTTTGGATTTAATTTAGAGCTGTGCATAGTTATCACGGACATGACTCGTTCCTGTCTTTGTAGGTCATGGCCTACTTTAGAAATATTTTTTGTGGATCACTCTTTATTATTGAGTAAAAAATACCAAAATTATATCAAATTTTATTTACTTATTTAGAGAGAAACCTAACAAAGAATGAAATCAGGTATGTGAAAAATAAATATAGGTATTTAAAGGAATCAACTAATTAATGTTAATTAACATCAAACTATAGTATTATTCAATACATTGATAAAAACTCCTCCCAAGAGAAAATGTATGGACACCTAGTCTTACCAAAATAAAAATTACAATGAAAAAAATCATCCAATTGGAGTAGGCTTTGAATCAAAAAAGAATAAAGAGCAAACAATCAATAGCTGAAGGCCCAGTATTACTTATTAGACCTAAGACCATACAGAAAGAATTAATAGTTATATCAGTTTTTATATCTATTATTTTTCAAAACAGCTTAACATAGGTAGTATAAATAAACAAATGTGTTTGACTCTTGTACTATATTATCATAAAACTTAATAGTAAGTCAGATTTTAATAATTACTCTTGACTGATATATTGATCTGTTAGTAAGATCTAATTAAAATTATGAGATTTGGCAAGTGATATACATATAGTCCAGGATGACCCAAATACCAAAAGAAAATATGAATATCCAAATGAACCAGTTGAAGGACAACACTAATTGCTAGACAAGTTAACATTCTGTTTTAGACAGAACTCCAACTTTTAATAACATTTTTTTTTAATATTCTGTTTGGTGTAGTCTGTGAGTCTTACTGTATATTATAAAAAAATATAATGAACACTTTTCTAAACAAAACTGTTCTAATTTTTATATCATACTTTTAGAAACAAAAATTTTTTTCATTTGACATTTGATTGTATAATTATTGTGAAGGTTTACTTTAGTGGTGTATTTATTGAATAAACAACAATAGATGTATAAAAAAATACAATAAAATAGAGTAAGATTTAGATGTTCAAATGATTATCAATAATAAAGTATTCTATGTACCTAGCTAAAGGATTTTATGCATTACTTATATGAATATTGGGTAAATATCTAGTTTGAGGTATTTACAAATAAGGAAAAACTTAAGCATATGTAGGTATCACTGTTGTAAACAAAAAACCTAAGTTTCAAATCTTGTGCAAATTAATAATGACACAAATAATTTTTTAAATAAAAATATGCCATTTTTTCAATTAATACTACCATTTTAAGGGAAAGGGAGAAACAACATCAATAGTTATAATATAAAATATTGTTAGGACAAGGAAAATTATTAGAAATGAATTGCAATTTGTGATAAAAAATAATAATAAATAGTTTTTGTGAAATTTGGCAAATGTGTAAGCCATTGAATTTTTTTTGACAGATTGATAAATTCACAATACAAAACTTTCTGTTCCCTTGACAGTCCCATCTCTAAGCTTTAACTTGAGAAAATTTGTAAAATATTTTTATTTAAAAAAATTATTGTGTGACTATTATTAATTTGCACAAGATATGGAAACAAGATTTTTTGTATAGAATAGTGTTACCTTCAAGTATGTATGCTTAGTTTTTTCATAAGAAAAAAGAGCTCATACTAACGACCAAATATTGTACCAATAATATCTCTAGAAATAGAAAATTACTTTGGTTTTTAAAATCGTATATGTATTTAAAAAATATTATTTTCCGATAGAGAAGGCACATGTTACTATTATTCAGAATCTGCCAATCACTAATTTGTTTTATTCTTTATGCAATTGTGGGTGTAAAAAGGAAACAGTTCATAAATATCTTAATAATTTAAAAGTGTTCATGCAATAATTTATAATGAATTTTGCAGACCTGGGTCTAACTATCCTGGCACGATTAGCGTACCTTCTCCCAGGGCGATTTCCCTCAGATCTGGTTCTTGTCCTACGTTCGTCCATCAAGTTCAAAGGCAAACTACTCATCAAACTATCCATCTAAAACATTCAACAATAGCAAAAGACGCAGTTAACACTAAATGACTGTGACTCACTACTTCAGCATCTTCCCAGTCTTCAACATCAATCATATCATAATTCTCGAATTCTGTATTCTCTGGGGCCTCTTGTAGTTCTTCGATAAAACCATCCGAGCAATGGGGGCACGTGAAATTCTACAAATAAGTGAGTAAAAAATATTGTAAATGACAACCACCTTGATATGGTATTATTTACCGCAGATGCATTTTGGAACTGAACATTACACATGTGACAGTAAAACTTTTGTGATGGTCTATCTTCTACAGCGGCTTCTGCCATCGTAAATTTTATTTGATCTAGTTTTAGTACTACTAATTTAAAAAATGAAATTATGAAAACACTGCCTGAGAAACGACATCGACCACCATATTTTTTATAATCATAGAACACAAGAAACTAGAATTTTTTTTGACAGATTGATAAATTCACAATACAAAACTTTCTGTTCCCTTGACAGTCCCAAACTCCAAACTATAGGTTCTTTCGTTCGTCCCACTGGTGTAGTTGGGTGTAGTAATGAACTACACCAACCCACACCCATACCTTTCGTTTGGTCCGGTGTAAAACCCACTATACCTTCCTGTCGGCGATGTGGTGTACACTGGTGGATATTTTCTCCACCAGCTATTTAGCAGGAGTGAATTACACTCGACGATGTGTATAAGGAATAAGGAGGAAGTAAATTAGGGTAAATAAGGTGGTGTAACTGGTGTAATTTACACTGGTGGACACTACACCAATAGCGAACGAAAGAACCTTTATTATTAGGCATTCCAAAGACCTGTCAAACAATAGGTGCCAGTGGGAAATTCTTGTATATTTAAGGGGGTAGCGACATAGTCTTGCAACTTGGACACTATTTTTATTCGAAGTAGTACTCGCCAAGCCTGCCAATTTATGAAGAAATGTATAGGTGGATTTTTTAAAAATTATTTTTATTGTTTTTGACATAAAATATTTAAATGTAATCCATTATTCATGATTTTACGTAAAGTAGAGAGAATACACCATATGTCGCCACCCTTAGATATACCAAACCTGCCCACTGGTAATTCATTTGTTTGGAATCAGGGGGGCTATTTTCAAACTCGAGAGAATTCATTTCTCTCAAGAGAAATGTCATACGTCAACGTAAAACCGTATTTTTAGGGCTCTTAGGGCCAGTGTGAACTCACTGACTGTTTCTCTCGGTTTATTTAGAGAGAATTAAAATCTTCCTAAGAATTTTAATCCTCGATGCCTTTAAAAACAACATTTCCACATAGACGTATGATATTTCTGATGAGAATCTTGAGAGAAATGAGTACTCACACATTCCGTTCGGTCTGCCAAGTTCCTTTAACACTTTTAACTCCAAACGACCTTTTTACCGTTAGGTTTAGTCCGATTAGTGACAGTTTAACACGCTTAAATGTCATTTAAAAGCACCCTAAAATTTGTCACGCTCCAGGGGCCAAATTCTCGAAACATGCGTTAACTGCCGCATGCGCTAAGTAACGCATGGTCGTTAACGCATACGACAGCAATTTAGTATTCCTGAACACCATGCGATAATCGCGAATCAAGTCGAACGTGTTAACGAAGAGTCTTTGATTATTGCATAGTCTTAACCAATGAGGATTGAGAATACCAAAGATGGTATCACTGAATATGAGATAATTGCATTGACATATGTCAAAATTGCCAAAAATGCAAAAATTATAAAATTAAATGGATTGCAGATGTCTAATAATTTTTGGTTTTTGGATGTTTTAACTGTGATTATTTGTATTTTGGACTTGAGAATTGGAGTGGTTTAGATTTAGAATAGTAAAAATGGAACAGCGGGGTTCACGAATAACGGAAAAACAGCGTGAAACTTTAGTAGAATTTATAACATTGTTTAGTGCCTGTAAAACTCCTATTTCTTCTACATCATCCATACTAAATAAAATATACCAAAATAAACTGGCACTTAAGCGTCCAATAAAAGAGTTCACGGTACAAAAAGTTTAATTTTTATATTCTATAGTAACTAATAAAATGTTCAAAAAAGTCAAATTAAAAATAAATATTTCCCAATAAATCACAAAACATAACCAAAACCAATACATAGAAACATGAATCAGAATCACATATGATAAAGCAGGATTAATTGACAATTATAACCTTACTTTCACCTAAACGAATGCGATAAAGTGGTTGTCGAACGGTCATGAGCGCTCTTTGAAAATCATCATTTCTTAGCGCACGCGTTAATAAATTTGACGAATGCCGCCAGCTCAGGAATACACTTTCATCAAGTCGCATACGTTATCGCATGCGATAAGTTAACGAAGGCGTCAGGAATTGGGCCCCAGCCCCTGACTGACCGAACTCGCCTACACAGGTTTGAAAATAGGTCCCCAGCACTTGTCAACATGTCAACCATAGATTACTAATGTGAATAGATGGGAAACTCAATGGTAATATTCTGAGTAGATGTGCTGCCATCTATCAAATTGGAGTGGTACTAAAATTCAATATGGCCGCTTAGCGCGGGCTTTTTGAAATTAAACTTTCTGTTAGTCGCGCAAAAATATAATGAAGAAAATCAAACAAAAAAAAATAAATTGGCAAAATATTTGACTAGTTTCAAATTATAAAACAACCATATTGACTGTTTTGTGATTTGAAACTAGTCAAATATTTTGCTAATTTATTTTTTTTGTTTGATTTTCTTCATTATATTTTTGCATTAATTTCAAACTAGAAATAAAATGCAATTTTTTTTTATTTATTTTTTTTTATTACAGTAAATTAACGCCGCATCATATAATTAGTCTATTTAAACATGGAAATAGGTACTCAAACAAATATGCATTTATACCATTTAAATAATTAAATATTTATAAAACAAACCTATCAAAAATGTTTTCTGTTACAAACTCGACATATTTAAATGCTCAAGACCAATATAAAAGTTTTGCAACTTGGAGTGGCAATAAGTTTGAAAAAACTGAAGTTGAAGCATCATCCTTTTGGTGTCTTACAATCAAGGCGAATTTGAGGGTGGATAAAATTTGCCATATCCTTATTGAGTCGACTAGTTAAGTTGAGAAACATTTCTTCATCCGATATTGTTTTATTGATTTATTTGTACAGCACCTGTAGTTATCAAATTCTTATTCATCATCTGAGCACTGTGATAAATGAATTTAACTTTCGAGCTTAAATTAAACTTACACACGTTTGGACCTTTGAAGATTTTGGGGTGTTTTCTTGTTTGATGTCAATGGCATTGAATCAAATTTTGATATTGATGGCTAAGGCTCAAATATTTCATCGATCTACAGGTACAGGGTATTTTGAAGGGCCAACATTTTCTTTATAACAATGATCATTTAAAAACTGAAAACAAAAATAAATTTAAATAACAAACCAATTATTTTAACACTGAATCAAAAACAAGTTTGTAAATATTACTTACCATTGATATGCCAGTACAAGATGCATTTTTCTTAAGACACTTATTACAAATTGTATGTTAATTCTTAATATGACGACCGCATATTTAATACGTGGTATAAATTGCATCACTACCAATATCTGGGAGTGCTTCATTGTTCGTTGCTGAAATCCATGTTCCCATCTCTTGAAAACATGCTTAAAATTGGAAGGTGTTGAAAAATAAATCTAGATGAATCAAAATTCAATACACCTTCAAAATTCAAATGCGACAGCCATTTTAATTTTTCCAAGTATGAAGTTTTGTTGACAAGCTGACAACTGACATGACATTTCGATACGAGCGCCATCCCGTTAATTGGAGTGGTACTAAATTACCGTCCTCATGTTTTTCCATTTGAGTTACCAGTCCCTGATGTCAACTTTCCACAGTTCATCTATAATAATCCTTCCTCCATGGTTCATCTAGTACTCGGACCACAAAGCACGTATTCGGACAGTTTTTAACATATTTCTGAAAACCAGCATTGGGATTCTCATCTTTCAATTCGGTACGTATTGAGACAACTATCTTCGTTCCACAGAATGCGATTCGTATGTAATGTTTCTCTCTATTCAATTCGTTACGTATTGAATAGAGATACATTACATAAGAATCACATTCTCTCGAACGAAGATGGAAGCTTCTCAACTCAATACGTGCCGAATTGAAAGATGAGAATCCCACTGCTGAAACCAGAAACCTTCAATTGCCCATAAATAGGGGTGTTTTTCGACTATACTTGTTGTTTTGCAAACTAACTCATCTCATATGTTTTTTGGGGCGCTGATTACGAAAATCGGTGTTAAAACTTGTAGCAATGGTTGAACCACCCCTAAAATTGCAAAAAACACCCCTAAATAGGGGTGTTTTTCGACTGTACTTGTTGTTTTGCAAACTAACTCATCTCATATGTTTTTTGGGTCGCTGATTTCGAAAATCGGGGTGTCGGAGACTGGAAAATTTGTGCGACACCCCCCACATGCCAGAAATCAGCGCCCCAAAAAACATATGAGACGAGTTAGTTTGCAAAACAACAAGTACAGTCGAAACCCTTTTGCAATTTTAAGGGTGGTTCAACCACTGCTGCCAGTTTTAACCCTAAATTTGGTAATCAGCGCCCCAAAATACGTAGGGGACAAGTGGTCTCGTCAAATGCGGCGTTTCTCGACCTTTTACCGTTATTTTAAATGGACTAGGGGGTCTATTCTGTAACAATTCCTTTATATTTAACGGCCTTTAAAAATATTTTTTCTTTACTTCTGTGATTATTTAAACGGATCTTTAAAATACATTAGAGGACTATCTTAAAGAAATCTGTTTAAATAATGACAGAAGTAAATTAACGAATACTAACATATTTTTAAAGGTCGCCTATATTTTAAAGGCTGTTAAATATAAAGGAATTGTTACAGAATAGACCCACAAATATGTACCCAGTGAATATTTGCGGTACGAGCAGAGCGAGTCCTATAGTGCTCCAGTATCCACCAACTGTATACTTTTTACCATTTACTTCACCGTCTACGTATACTATACACTATCATCGCGACATTTCAAAAAAGCATATCAGTATGAAAGGGTCTTTGAAACGGTTTCGGATCGAAACTGTCCCCTCTAGGCCAACCCGCTCTAGTGTTCCTTCATTTGTTGTGACCCTAGGGCGTTTATAATACTTTCCCTAATTCGCCCCCTTACGAATGAATTTCAACCCCTGCAGCCGACTGAGCTTGTGTAGGGAAGGGACGGAGATATTATTTGCCGTGGCGCTCCGGGGCGACTTAAAGAAGATTGATGGTGCTTTGACTTACAGGTGAGGAAAGCACGGAAAACCACACCCACCATCATCACTGCAATTCCAGTACCTGATGGTCTTCGACTTTATCTTTTTATGAGTAAAGCTCGTCATTATGTTATGTTAACTAGTTGGTCGAGTTTATATTCCACGCCTTCTTCTTTTACATTCCTCACTTTACTGTATCCTCCAGAAGCCTGCGTAGCTGCCTCATGCTCTAGAGCAGCGGACAAAACATCGACCAATGTTTTGTGATGGGCTAAGCGGAGCGTTTTCTGCATTTCGTGGTCACAGCAGAGTCCATCATCAAATGTTATTTGGACTTGCCAAACATTCCATCTTGTTTTTTGGAGCTGATGGGTAAGCAAATCGCACCAACCTGCGACAATATCTATTTCATATTCTTGAAGGGTCTCATCATGTTTTTGTTTGCGATTCTTTAGCTGTGATTATTGATACAAATGCGCCAAGTGTTTCGTGGCCATATCGCATATTTAGTATCTTTTTAAGTTGTTCAAAGCCATCCGTCTTCTCCACAGGTAGAGTCTGAAGGGCATCTAAAGCGTCTCCTCAAATTTACTGCCTTCTCTCTTTCAGACCGTTCGGTATTATCTAATGAGAAAATTTCATTTTTTATAGAAGAAACTTTGGTTTCCATGGAAGAAATATCAGAAGAAACTTTAGTTTCAATGGAAGACACTTTTTTTTCCCATGTAGAAATTATAGAAAACGCATCATCAGAAAATGCAAGTCTAGAAAAAAAAACAATTCTGCTAGAAGAATCTCGAAGCGTTCGTGAAATCTTTCCTCCACGCGGCGGACTGCGTATAAAGAAACATTCAAGTCAAATCTCGATCACGAGACGGGCGGACAGCGGAAACACAAGACGTAACGGCAGAAGTGAAGGTCAACAAAAAAACAAAGTAGGTCTTAGGTGCAGTCTCACGACACTAATGACGCAAAACTAACAAGACTGAATTACCTGCACTAGCACAAAACACTCACTTTAATGGAGACTTTTGGCTCATTGCTTGACATACTTTTTGCGTTCCCCTACTTAATAACCATTAAGAGAAATATGGCAGCAACTTTGTCAAAGTTGTTCAACTTGTACCCAATGTCCCTCTTCCTATCTTAGAAGAGTACATTTCAAGTATCGATTAAAGTGTATGCTCTTTTTAGTGTGGGTGAGTAATCAATGATGACTGACCATAACCAATCATAATACAGGCACTCTTCTACTTGAAAGATGGCTAGTATAGAAGATAACTAAATGGAAGTGACAATGACGCCCAAAATTAAGTAGAGGTATTGGAGGTGATGCAGAGAAATGATTACTGACCTAGCCCTTATTTTCCTAATTTACCTCCAACTAATATTACTCTGCTTTTTAAGCTTAGTAGATGAAGATATAGGTACATACAACAATAGGTAACAGATATTAATGAAACCCAGGAAAAAATATAACGAACCTAACTGTACCTACCAGTTTATTATAAAAGTATTTGAAAATGTAATAGAGGAATGTCTCTAGCTTGTCAAACAGCTGCAGTTCTAAAGTATAAATAAAAATATTTTTATTTGAATCCTGCTAAATCTACTGAAAATGTGATGATAAAGAATAAATTATTTAAATATAAATTATATAAACAATATTTTATTAATCAGTGACACAGCTTAAGCTGTCCAGTATGTAAAACCTGTCGTACATTCATATTAATTCTAGAATGGCTTAAATAATTATTAAATGGTGTCCATAAAGCATCATTAGCTTCATAATAATTATTTGAATTAAACTCGTCTTCATCATTCCATATATCATGGTCTATTTTTATTACTCTTGGAACTCCATGGTAACACAATCTAGATTGTTTACTCATTATTAAAATATCTCCACTTCGTAAGAACATTGCCACTGGCTTTTCATCAATAGTTTTACCTCCTAACAAAAATACAGCAGTTTGTCCAAAGCTAAAAGAAAATAAAGGAGCTTCTAAATTTTGTTCTGAGTGATCAGTATGTCCAGAAAGAGTCGAATTCAATTGGTAGTAATTCACGATAGCTGCTTCAGCTATAAAATCCATAAAACCCAATTTTCGAGCTATATATTCAGTCATATCTTTTAAATCACTAGGAAAATCACTTCGATTATCTTCAGAATAAATTTTCGTATCCCAATTGTGATGGTAACCCAGTGTAGCCCACCTTAAAGATTGTAGTAATGTTTTATCACTTTGAGCTGTATCCCACCAATTTTTATCACTTGGTATAACATTAAAGTTATCTATATTTAATTTGTTTGGCTTCCTTGAATAATCTTTTAAGCATTTTTTTATCCAATATCTTTGACCTGCATGGGTAAATGGATTTCTAATAAAAATAAAACCATTCTTTGATGGAATTTGATATACTCTCCAATCTTTGAGGTTTTTTAGGCCATAATTACACAAAGAGCTTTTCAATGCCAAGTCTTTATATATTACTATGCCATTTAATTCAAATTCTGGTTTTTGAAAATCTAAAACCTCTTCAAAATTAGGAGGCGGATTTTTTGATTTGTAATATTTAAAACTATGTTTAAACATTTCTATGAAACATATTGTTACATATTTTTTTAGGTTATTAATAATAAACAATTAGGCATTCCAACGACCTGTCCAAATGGCTACCAGTGGGTAATGACAGTTTAGATATGGCAACCCTGTTGTCATGTTGTCATTAACAGGGCCAATGATACATATATAGTTATATAGATTGCTCAAAGCTGGTCGTTTACGAGCGGCCATATTGTCTGGTAAATATTTATTAATTTGAATCGGTTTAGCAAAAATGTGTTTTAAAACCAATTTTTTGCCTTTAGGTAATTAAAAAAAATAATTGCTTATATTTTTACTTTAAGGCATAAGCTTATGTTTATTTTGAAAAATATGGATGATCAATCTATGTAACTATCTATTTCATTGATCTTGTCAAATCACCAGGCCTACAGGGTTGCCATAATTTTGCCATATCATACCCCGTCAAAACCCACTGTGCGTCGATTCTCGAGCTTGGACGATGTGAGCGTTCCTATAGGAGAGGTGAACGATCACATCCTACAGCGTTTCTCTCGAAGTGGTTTGGCCGTATTCCCGAAACTCGGTGAACGTGATCAAACGGGGGAATAAAGTGCACGGTGTTGCCAACTCTAATATCTTCTTTTTCTTGATTTTTGTAGACATTTGAACTATATTTTGTTAACTGGATATAATTTTGTGATAATAAAAGAAGAAAATATTAAAATTGTCACCTATCCGTATTGAATTTGACATATTTGGAGAATATTAATTATGAATTAGAAATTAAGAGTGTGATTAAGAGGTCGTTTCGTAGGAGTTTTCTATAATATGATAAAAATATATATATATATTTTTTTATTAAAAGCGTAGAAGAGGGAAAAGAAAAACGTACAGCCATTACAGAGTTCACTTTTTTAAGATAATTAATTAAAAATTAAATTTGCAAACCGGAAATTTATAGTATAGGTAGTCGATTTTGTTTTAAATTTTGTGCTAAAGAAAAGTAAGTTTGTATTAATATCAAATAAATAATTTTATTAATAAAAATTCGGTAAAGAAAATACATATGTTTACAAATATATAGATTAGACTAATTATATAAACTGGAGTGACCGCCTCATAGAAATTTGAAATATTTTCAACTAACTTATTATATAAAGGGTTATAATTTATTTCGAAATTTTTTTTATAACTTTTGTTTACTACCTACGGAATCTGCAACTCTTAATTATCCTTCCTCCGTGCTACCTACTTTAACTAACTGTAGCTTAACTAGATTATTGTCAATACTTATACTTTATTTCAACTTTTCAAATATCACTTTCTCAGTTCAATGGGATTAAATTAACATTTTTAACAATCATTCTTTGTGTTTTTCTAATTTTGTAATTATTTTTACAAAACAAAACCATACAATTTGCTTTCAGTAAAGATATTTGTCATAGAAGACAATTTCTTAACACTGAACACTAATATCAATTTTTGGATTTTTCATAATTTGTATTCCCATTTTAGGCAATAAATATAGCTTAAATGGTACCTACCTACTAAATAGTACGACCCTTATTTATTAGGATTTTGGGATTTTCCCTAATTTACAATTCCCAGAATACGAATAATAGATATGTAGGTATGTATAGGTACCCATGCATTTATTAGAATTACAATAATTGATTTTTGTGATGAGGTACCAAATAATATTTTACTTATGCTAATAAATTATTCACTCTATTGTTATCAATAATGTTTTTATTAAAAATATAAAAATACGAAATGTACGAATATGAAAAAAGTTAAAAAAAATTACTTAATTACGGGCCAAAAATAATAAATCAGCTACCCCGCATGCGTTTACTAATAATTCTTGAGAGAACACGGCGTTCTCCTACGAAATACCAGTAGAACGATGTTCCTACGACTTTCGTAGGAAGTGAACGTTCCTATGACTTCAAGAATAAGGGCTTAGCGAATTTCAGGAGAAACACGCCCTCTATTCCTATAGGAACGCCGTTCCTACGACTCAAGAATACGGTCCCTGATAGCCATTCAGTTTGGAATGCCTAATTAGGCATTCCAACGACCTGTCCAAATGGCTACCAGTGGGTAATGACAGTTTAGATATGGCAACCCTGTTGTCATGTTGTCATTAACAGGGTCAATGATACATATATAGTTATATACATTGCTCAAAGCTGGTCGTTTACGAGCGGCCATATTGCCTGCAAATATTTATTAATTTGAATCGGTTTAGCAAAAATGTGTTTTAAAACCAATTTTTAGCCTTTAGATATTTAAAAAAAAATAATTGCTTACATTTTTACTTCAAGGCATACGCTTATGTTTATTTTGAAAAATATGGATAATCAATCTATGTAACTATCTATTTCATTGACCTTGTCAAATCACCAGGTCTACAGGGTTGCCATAATTTTGCAATATCATAACCCGTCAAAGCCCACTGAGAGAAATGCCATACGTCAACGTAAAACAGTATTTTTAGGGTCCTAAGGGCCAGTGTGAACTCACTGATTGTTTCTCACGGTTTATTTAGAGATAATTAATATCCTCCTACGAATTTTAATCCTCGAGGCCTTTAAAAACTGCGTTTCCACATTGACGTATGACATTTCTGATGAGAATCTTGAGAGAAATGAGTACTCACACGGTTTGAAAATAGGTCCCCTGTGCGTCGATTCTCGAGCTTGGACGATGTGAGCGTTCCTATAGGAGAGGTGAACGATCACATCCTACAGCGTTTCTCTCGAAGTGGTTTGGCCGTATTCTCGAAACTCGGTGAACGTGATCAAACGGAGGAATAAAGTGCACGGTGTTGCCAACTCTAATATCTTCTTTTTCTTGAATTTTGTAGACATTTGAACTATATTTTGTTAACTGGATATAATTTTGTGATAATAGAAGAAAATATTAAAATTGTCAATTGTCACCTATCCGTATTCAATTTGACATATTTGGAGAATATTAATTATGAATTCCTCTTTCGTAGGAGTTTTCTATAATATGATAAAAATATATATATTTTTTTATTAAAAGCATAGAAGAGGGAAAACAAAAACGTACAGCCATTACAGAGTTCACTTTTTTAAGATACTTAATTAAAAATTAAATTTGCAAACCGGAAATTTATAGTATAGGTAGTCGATTTTGTTTTAAATTTTGTGCTAAAGAAAAGTTAAGTTTGTATTAGTATCAAGTAAATAATTTTATTAATAAAAATTCGGTAAAGAAAATTCAATACATAAGTATGTTTACAACTATATAGATTAGACTAATTATATAAACTGGAGTGACCGCCTCATAGAAATTTGAAATATTTTCAACTAACTTATTATATAAATGGTTATAGGTAATTTATTTCGAAAAAAATTTTATAACTTTTGTTTGCTACCTACGGAATCTGCAACTCTTAATTATCCTTCCTCCGTGCTACCTACTTTAACTAACTGTAGCTTAACTAGATTATTGTCAATACTTATACTTTATTTCAACTTTTCAAATATCTTTTTCTCATTTTAATGGGATTAAATTAACATTTTTAACAATCATTCTTTGTGTTTTTATAATTTTGTAATGGAGAATTTTTCTATCGAGTTGATATTTTTAACAATCATTCTTTGTGTTTTTCTAATTTTGTAATTATTTTTGCAAAACAAAACCATACAATTTGCTTTCAGTAAAGATATTTGTTGTAGAAGATAATTTATAAACTTCTTAACACTGAACACTAATATCAATTTTGGGATTTTTCATAATTTGTATTTCCATTTTAGGCAATAAATATAGATTAAATGGTACCTACCTACTAAATAGTACGACCCTTATTTATTAGGATTTTGGGATTTTCCCTAACACACAATTCCCAGAATACAAATAATAGATATGTAGGTACGTAGGTACCCATGCACTTATTAGAATTACAATAATTGATTTTTGCAATGAGGTACCAAATAATATTTTACTTATGCTAATAAATTATTCACTCTATTGTTATCAATAATGATTTTATTAAAAATATAAAAATAAGAAATGTACGAATATGAAAAAAGTTAAACAAATTACTTAATTACGGGCCAAACATAACAAATCAGCTACCCCGCATGCGTTTACTAATAATTCTTGAGAGAACACGGCGTTCTCCTACGAAATACCAGTAGAACGATGTTCCTACGACTTTCGTAGGAAGTGAACGTTCCTATGACTTCAAGAATACGGGCTTAGCGAATTTCAGGAGAAACACGCCCTCTATTCCTATAGGAACGCCGTTCCTACGACTCAAGAATACGGTCCCTGGGGGTCAATTCTCGACTTGTAGGAACCTTTTCCTATAGGAATTTGTGACACTTTCCTACATGTAGACAAATGTCATAAATTTCCGATGTGTAGAAAAATGTCAAAAATTCCTATAGGAAAAAATTCCTACGAGTCGAGAATCGACCCCCTGGGGGTCAATTCTCGACTTTTATTCCCATGGGAAAATAAAATTTTCCCATGGGAATTCAGTTTTCGTATTCTCGGCATAAGCGGTGGAATATTTTCCAATAAGAAGTATGGGAAAATATTCCCCTGCTTATGAGCATTGGAAATTGTGTTTTCCAATGGGAATTGTACTAGAGTTTGCGCATTAAAGTCGAAAATTTGACGAAAGACCACGCGAAAGACTAAGACATAACCAAAGATTATTGGATATCTTGGATTTTTGGTGAAATTGTAGTTAAAACATTTTTTTTGTGTATTTATAAATTGATATTATTTTATTTATGTGGGTATATTATTTTTACCTCTTTTTCACTAAGAAACTGATTTTCTTAAATTAGTTAGAAATTGTGGGAGTTGCTAAGAGACTGGCAAATAGGAGAAATTTGTAGTAAATTTAATAAGACCTTTTCGAAAATTTTATTATTTCCGTTAACGAAAGAATTTCTTAGTTTCTCGAAACTTTCGTTGCTCTTCTATACAAAAGCTACTTTTTCTTTTTTCAATATGTGAAAAGAAAAACTAAAAATAACTCGAAAAGTTTTAATTATACATAATCGAATATTTTCACTTGTCCTCGGTCAAGCTAGCGATTGCCATGCGATTGCTCGGCACGGCATCTGCTCCAGCGCAGAGGCTCGGCAGGTAATCGGTTACCCAAAAACCACAACAAATACAAATAATACCAACAGTAAATTTTAAAATATCTTTAATGCTATTGGTTATTTCGAAATATTCGTGAACTTAATATCAGACATACGTGAAACTATTATTTCCATGGGAATGTCTATTCCGACAAGTTCGAGAATTGCATAACCTATTACCATGGGAATATAAGTAGTGGAATCTTTTCCCATGGGAAAATTTTCCAATGAACTCGAGAATCGAGCCCCTGGCAGGCATTCAGTTTGGAATGCCTAATAGAGGACTTCTATACAAGGGAAGTGCAACCAACTTGACAAATTTTTTTTGACACTAATGACATAAGAAATCGGGTCACATAAAGAGGCTGTTTTTTTGTAAAATTTTTGGTTTTTCTTATCTACTTTTATGCCGTTTAGATACCATGTTGTACCCGTAACGTAAAAAAGACTTTTTATTTTAGGGTATTTTACATTTAAAGGTTGAAAACATTTGTCAATATTAGCTGTCGATAATGTCAAAACATAAGCGTAGCATTGCATTTTATTTTTTGTTGTTAATAGTCTATTTGTGTTTCTCCTGCTTTCTTGAAACATTTTTTGTCATTTGGTTTTACTTATTTATGTCGATTACAAAATGCTGCTGCAACGAATACAAGTTCTATACAATATACAACCAACATACAATACTAGTTACGTTGTGCCCATCTATGGTTACGCCTGTGTTCTATCATCAACATAATTGACAGCTGACAATGACAAAATGTTTCAACCTTTAAATGTAAAATACCCTAAAATAAAAAGTCCTATTCACGTTACGGGTACAACAAGGTATGCAAATAACATGAAAGTAGATAGGAAAAACCAAAAAGGAAAATAAAAAACAGCCTCTTTATGTGACCCGATTTCTTATGTCATTAGTGTCAATTTTATTTTGTCAAGTTGGTTGCACTTCCCTTGTATAGAAGTCCTCTATTGGCCATGTTCACATGTGAGATATGCTGTTTTATAAATTATATTGTAATAGTTAGTCGCTATACAAGTTATTCTAAATAATCAGTTCGTTAAAAAAGCCAAAAGTTTTTAAATTAAGCCCAATTGAAATTTAAAATTTGAAATGTATACGTCATCGGGAATAGACCAATCAGCTTGTGTCGAAGTTTTTTTTGTTATACAAAACCAAGCCAACGAACAAACCAACACACAGAAGGCGAGTTCGGTTAGTCAGGGGCAGGAGCGGGACATAAGCGGAGTTATTTAGGGTACTTTTAAATGACATTTAAGCGTGTTAAACTGTCACTAATCGGACTAAACCGAAAGCTAAAAGGGTCGTTTGGAGTTAAAAGTGTTAAAGGAGTTAATAAAGGAACTTGGCAGACCGAACGCAATGATTGGGCGTGAATCGTGATGTGTTCTGTGATCGTGATTCACAAATAAGAAATGTCAAAATTTATAGAGAGGTCATCAAGAGTAGTTATTTATTTGGGAAAGCATTTTTTTAATTAGAGATTTTCTCACACGATTTTTAATTAGAAATGTTCAATAATTTGTAAGAGAAAGGCTCTAATTATGAATGCTTTTCAGGTATGCCACAATACGAGCGATTTGATTCCTTTTTATCTTCCGCAACAATTATATTTGAAGCCGATTGCCCGCATAAACATATCTTTACAACTTCCAAATGTAAAAAAGTTAGGAAAAAGTGTTTCTCATTGGGAGATTATGGATAAAATTAAAATGTTGATACGTCCTGATGAGTTTACAGTGTTAAAAGTTACAAAAACCACCGTTGAATTTGTTCGTTTCGAAGGAGAATTGGAAACTAAAGAAAAAATAGCTAGAGTTTTGGCCAAAATAGATAATAAAATGATTAAGTTAAAAGATTTTAGCGAGTTAATGAGGGTAAAAGCAGCTGAGTGGAAGTCTGATTTTCCACATCGTCGCGTTTGGGATGATTTCTTTTCTAGTGCTAAAGATATGGATGAAATGAAACCAGGACAACGACCAGATACAGTTTATATATCTAACTTGCCATCAAACTGGTTTGTACCATATCACCTCACTGGTGAAGACGCAGTGCCCTCAGAAAAAATATTTTATAGGGTGTTTGAAAAGTTTGGTTCTATTAGGTATGTAGATATCCCTATTTGTGATCCTTATAGGAAGAAAATGAAAGATCATATATCTGGCTTAAAAAATTCCTCATTTGAAAGAACAGAGTTTTTTGAGGGCTATATACAATTTAAAGATTATATTGGCTTTACAAGGGCTATGGATGCTTTAAGAAATATGAAACTAGTTCATAAAGAAGAGGAGACAGCTATTGAAGTTAACATTAAGGTTGATTTTGATAAATCTAAACATTTAAGTGATGGTTCAATTAGAAGAAGGGAGATAGTACGTGATAGACTCATTACAAAGGCTAGAGAGCAGGAAGAAAAAGATAAAGCAGCTTTGGAGGAAAAGAATAAGAGGGAGGAGCAAGATAGGTTGTCTTTTTTAGAACATATGAAATTTGTGAAGAATGAGTTATCTTTCTTTATTTTTACAGTAGGTTTCACACTTTCCAGTTTCATTAGGGTTGGCAGCCTCTCATTTCCCAAAACTCAGACATGATTGATCAAAGCTAGGGGTACATAACATGTACAATCGGCGCAACCCAAATGGGATCACTCTTTGGTTGTCATGGGATTTTTTTACTGAAATTCATCTCTTTAGGTCTGGCTTTGGTCAGTGGTGTTACAAAGAAAGGAAATAATATTGAAAATAAAATTATATTCTATTAGTACTGTTTTGTCGAATTGGTCTTATCTACATTAAATGTGCAATAAATAAATTAAAAGAATATAAAATTACAAAAACAATATAAAATCACAAAAAGCATGTATTTATTGTAATAGAAAATCAAAGGCTATAGCAAATTTACATTCAATGAACATTTGAAAAAATCATTTATTACAAGAGAAAGCAAATGCTATAGCAAAATTTGATGAAAATTAGTCTAAGTGGATGTTGAATTAAATGTCAGTAAAAGTTGCATATTTTACATTAAGAAACTGGCAAGAACAAAAAAGATTGTGAAAACCTTTCAGACAAGGTTTAGGGAAGGTCTCTAATGGAAATGAAAATGGTCTTCTAACAGCTACAGCAAGAATAGAATATTTTATTGCAGCGCCATTGGCTGCAACAACACTTTCCAGTCTTCTTGGCATGGACAAAATTAAATGTCCATGTCTTAGGAATCTATGAGCTCTTTCCAAGCATTTTCAATAACTTTCCACAGTTGCCAGCCTAAAGTCTCTTTGACGTGATGCCCCATATACTTTCAATAAGGTTCAAGTCTGGCCTTTGCAAAAACATTTTTGTTGTTGTTGAGCCATTCTCTTACTATTTGAGCTGTATGAGCTGGATAATTATCTTGTAGGTAACAAATATCAATTATTGTAAACATTTACGAGTAAATCAAACTGATTTCTTACATGTTGAAAAGTAAAATTGTCAAAAAAAGTGTCTTTTACTGATGGTAAAATCATGTTGTCTGAGATGTTTATGTAACGCTCGGCTGTTAATCGCCCATTAATTGCCCATTAATTTTCCAGCACATTCCAGGGCCGCTTATTCACGCCCAAACATTGACGGAAAAGCGACTATTAGTAGTACCCAACGTAAATTTATTTTCGAATCTCGAGTTTCTTGGACGATAAATACTTAGCCTTCTGCTGTTAGAAGATTGGAAAGTTTTTTTTTTTTGGAGAATACAACTTTCCAAAATTTCTTCCGGTGAATTAAAAATTCCTTTGCAAAGTGGACTCTTCAGTGCTTATTTTCTACAGTTAAAAAAAAACTTGGGGAATGCAGCACAGTTTTTAAGCCAGTTTGTTTTAAACGGATTTGAGCTGTTCTGAGAGATTCTGGGAATAATATTTCTTCTCATGCTTTCACAGCGTTTCCAAAATGATTTTGACACATTCTAGGAGAGCATGGTCTTCATTAGAGACCTTCCTTACATCTTATCTGAAAGGAGTTTGCAACATTGTTGCTTCTTGTTAGCGTTTCTTAACGTAAAATTATGCAACTTTTACTGGCATTTAATTCAGCAGCCACTTCATTTAATGAATAATTTGAAAAGTCGGACACAAGTCCCAAAAATTCCCTGGCTGTGACAGGCCTTTTTTTCAAATCTCGAAGTATTTGTTTTCACCTTTGGGATTCTGGGATAGTCTTAATAATTTTTATGGGGATTTTTGGGATTTGTTTTCGAATTTTCAAATTCAGACACTTATTTCAGGTATTTCTCTAACTTTTCGGATTTGCGATTTATGACTTATAAATTCACAAGTTTCACTTCATTTAATGACCAATTTTACTCGACTTTTGAGCCTCTATTAAATTCATTTTTGAAAATTTATTTAACAATAATTTTTAGAGAGATGTCCAATTTAAGTGCGAAGAATGACTATGATGTGTTTACATTTCGGTTTCGTCAACTGTACATACCTAGTTTATTATCGGTTGTAGTTTATTGCACTAGAGGGCACGACATACCTACCTACATAATATGATTTTATTTTTTTTTAATTCATAAAATGGGTACCTACCTATTAAATTTGAAATTTTTACGTACCCACATTTTATTTTATATGCGTTCGGCAATCGCCGTTATGAATTATTATTTATTCAATGGGTCGGACGTATTGAAAATAAACATCCAGATATTCCCGGACATGGTCATCATGTGACCAGACACCAGACAAACTTTTAAAAACTGGACAGTTCGGGTGAAAACTGTACAGGTGGTATCCCTATGTTTCATTATTGATATTTCTCCAAAACTTTGTTTTTATTGGAATGAATGCATAAACTTTTGTTATTCTGGATTTTGTTTCATTTTAGCAATAATAGCTTAAATATACTAAGTACCAAAAAAAAAAAATGCATCGCCCACTAAAAGTGTATAATTTTTAACTGACTTCAAAAAAAGGAGGAGGTTCTCAATTCGTCGGAATATTTTTTTTTTCATGTATGATCAGTGATAATTCTTTAATACATTGTCATATTTCTATGATTCTTTTTTTGTTAGAAAGAGGGAACTTTAGGGGTGGTCCCATATAAATTTGGTCAAGATATAATTGGGTTCAGGAGAAAATCCTCACTCTTCATTTTTGTATGTATGTTCAGTGATAATTATTTACCACCTTGTCCGATTTTATAGGATTCTTGTTTTGTTAGAAAGGTGATACTTCAGGGGTGATCCCATATTTGGTCAATATCTAATAATTGAGGAAATCAAAAACTCAATTTGTAAATGCAACTTTTAAGAGAACTGAATGTTTTAAGTCATTAAAATTAACCAAATTTACATTGATAAGTTCCAAATATTAATTGTTTACATTGTTTCCCCTAGAAATTCTTAGAAACACCTGAAGGATAACTCATTCTTGACAATAATGAGACAATTTTATGATAGCTTAATAAATTCATGTAAACATGTACAGTTATTTTTTTCTGTCTAGCTTGTAGTTATAATGTAAAGAGATATAATTAGCAACAGTGCATCTGACCGCCATGCTTCCTGTGCTTACAATTTGAGAGATAGGAGAGAGGACAGGTTGCACAAATCAAATGAAGATAGCCTAGTTGTCATTAAGTGGCTCTCAATGTATTGCTAAGCTAGATAGGAAAACATAAGTACTGTTATTCGCTTCTAGTCAGAAAAATAATTATTTAAATAAAGATGCATTGAGTATATCCACAAATATTTCTATTTTCATACATAATTAGCAAAAATTTAAAGTACATTGAACATTTTTCTTACAATTGAAGAATTGAAACAATTTTCCTTATACATTATTATGTTTAGAGATATTAGTGGTCATTTTCAGACAACGAGAATTTGATATTAAAGAACAGAAGAAACTTAGAAGAAAACTACGAGAAGAAAAAAGAAAAGCGAAAATACTAGAAAAATTAGAAATATCAGGTAGTGATGAAATCAACGAAAAAATCGCTAAAGAAGAAAAAAAGTTGTTGCGAGTACAAAGAAAACTAGAAGCTATTAGACTAGTTGAAGAATTGTTTAGAAGGATACAGGTACATAAAATAATAAATTCAGTAAATTATATGCATTTTAGTTGGACAGATTTTTCATTTTATTAGAAAATAAACTATCAACATAATTAATAAATACAATAATGTGCTATTGTCCCATCTGTGTGCTGCAGAATGGAAAATATTTTTTATATTTTGAAATATAAATTGACGTTTTTTGTAATCGCAGCAAGTGTCAAAATTATTTACTTCATATAACCAGTTACATAAAGTTCAACATTATGTACCTAACTGGTTATGAAAAATTCATTGTCGCCAGGTTGCGTAATTAAAACCAATAAAAATAAACCCTTTTTATATCCAAGGAAGGAAAGATGGCTATATAAAAATATATTTTGTTAGTGAACTTACAATTACTAATAATTCTGTTTTGGTCCCTATTTTCCATCCTTAATCTGCACAAAATAAAACACTTTCAATACATGATAAAATAACCCACTTTTGCACCCAGTTGCATAGATAGACAATTTTATTCAAAATTTTTCGAGTATATGCTTTCGATACATTATTTTAAAAAATATTTGAAATAACTACTTGCTTTCATTCAAATAAATCAAATTATATAAATTGTGACATTACTTCACCAACAATTTTCCAAATATTTATTCATTTCGTAACATCTTTGATTTGGAAGTACAAAAAATTAGTCATTATTTACCAAACACGATTTTATAAATAATTGAGAAAATATTGTCTAATACGTTCCATAAATAACTATTAGAAACACGAGTTATTTAACTAAATTCAATTTATTAAGTTTTATGTATTTTAATAGGACAAAAATCCCCACAACATTCTACTTTATGACGATTTATCAAATCCTTCAAGAAATGAACTGAGAAACTTTAAAAACTCTAGTGAATTAGAAGTTCTAAATCAAAGAGAAAAACTACATAATGTACTCAAGGGCAGAGTAATGCTAAAAACAATCTTGGCAGATAGCTCTCGAACAAGAAGATACTCTTCATCGAGTTCTAATTCTGATATATCATTGGACATACCAATACACTCTAATGCAGGTTGGTTTGGTGTGAACATTTTACCCAAGAAACGTTTAATATTCTATTTTACCCAGTTTAGGCTAATATTTTTAGTTTCAACATTTATTTCTTATTTTTAGGTCAAAGACCTAAGAGTCCTGTATTTAATAAGTACCCAGAACTGTTCTATGAACCCACTAATTGGTTAGGCTACCCACCATATATGCATCCTGGATCATTGTTTTCAGAAACATACCATCCTTTCGATACTTACATACCAAGAGGTAGAGGCTTTCCGAGGCTTCCAAATATTGCAGGACCATCTCGAGGTAAAAAACTCTATTATTACACTTGGCCTCTGTTGTTTAGTAAAACGGTGAAATGTTTGATGTATAAAACCAATCTTGTTTTACAAAAAAAAAAAAATAAGTTTGATAATTCCTAAATATTTTGCAGGAGGTTACAATAGAAGAAGAGGAGGTTACAGGTATAGAGGTGGTGGCAGAGGTGGAGCCAAATACAACCAATACCCTCAAGACATAGAAGAAGATTATAGAAAATACATCAGCAAGTTCCTAAATGAACATAACACATCCAGAAGATCCTATTCACCTAATAGAAGAACTAGAGACAGATCACGGTCTCGATCCCATTCTAGCTCTAGAATATCATATTCTAGATCTAGAAGGTCGTATTCTAGATCCCGTTCTAGATCGCGTTCTAGATCTAGAACAAGAAAACGATCAAGAGACAGAAGATCAAGATCATACAACTATAGATCAAGATCTAGAAGTTCACGTTCTAGATCTAGGTCAAAATCTTCCAGAAAGTCTTTGGGTACGCCAAAACATGAAAATAAGAGAAGTCGATCTATATCAAGAGATAAAAAAAGAAGTAAGAGTAGAACACCAAGATCTAAAGATAGAACGAGGAAAAGGTCTTCAGAACGTTCAAGAACTAAAAAAGACAGTGAAACAAAAAAATTAAGATCTTCTGAAGAAAAGAAATCCAGTACTCGTTCTAGAGAACAGAAATCTAGGAGTCGATCTAGAGAAAATAAATCTAGGAGTCGATCTAGAGAAAAGAAGTCTAAAAGTCGCTCTAGAGAAAAGAAGTCTAGGAGTCGTTCTGGAGAAAAGAAGTCAAGGACCTGTTCTAAAGATAATGGTAGAAGCCGTTCTAGAGATAAGTCTATAGATAGTTCTACTTTTATGACTCCTCAACAATTTTCGAAACATAGGGATCGATCAAAATCGTGGTCTCTTCCAAAGGAAGGAGAATCTAAAAACAGGTCGTGGTCTAAGTCTCCAGAGAAGAAAAATTAAATGTTATTTTGACATAATGTGTATAGAACAAACTTATTATATAACTGTTTTTATATTAAGAATAAAGTGCTATTTAACTCTGGTGATTGTTTTTATCATCAGCCTTTTCCAATCGGGATCGGTCATTTTTATTTTTCTTCTTCACCTTGGCCTTCTTCTGCAATATTTGATCCCCCTTTACCTTCATATCACTACTAACAGTACCCCCACCACGTTTTCCTTGCCTTTATTTTTACCCCAACGTATGGGCTCCGCCACACGAGGGCAAGGGGGGCGTCTGTCCCCTCCTGAATTTAAAATTTTTTGGCCATAGTTGTTGACTATATCATGCGGCGCTTTGACCCTGCCTATAAAACTGGAAATGTCTTGAACGGCCCCCATTTTTTTTTTTTTTTTTTTTTTAGTTTTACACCCTACTCCGTCTGTAGTCTGGCAGCACTGCAGCCTGCGGCTTATTGTACCACCATTTGAAGGTCCTACTACTTTCCCATTCACACCCTCATTCATTCCACGACGTCGATGGTTAAACGCTAGTCGGATGAATCCCATGGTGACACGGCCCATGGTGGAACCTCCCAGCGGTCACTCATCCATGACGTGACCGGAGACATCACTGCTTAACTGTTGCGAGTATGTGGATGCACACTAAACTCGCGGCTAGCCTCTCCGGCCGAACGGCGCCCAAGCCCCAACATTATATAACAATTAATTTACTTTTATTAGTTACTAGCGGACCTGACAGACGTCGTCCTGTCTTAATTATGAATATTGATTTCGAATTGGTATAATTAACTAAAAAAATATTTCAGAAACAAAGTGTTTAATATTCTAATGCAAACACAAAAAAAAATAGCGAAATCGGTCCAGCCGTTCACGCGTGATTCCGTGACCAAGGGAAATAGGAATTAATTTTTGTATGTATAGAAATTTGCCGCGCAATTTTCTTAATTTTTTCTTTCATAAGAACCTTCTCCTGACAATATCAAACACAACAAAAAAAGAATTAGCGAAATCGGTCCAGCCGTTCACGCGTGATGCCGTGACCAAGGGAAATAGGGATTCATTTTTATATATATTTTAAGATTTAATTGATCGTTTTTGTTTTAATGATTATTAGTTTATATTTTATTCAAGCCACTGGTTTTTCTTAATGAAATAATACGTCTTTTATTCAAACATGAACATTCACCAAATTAAACACTTAATCACTTCTTATAAAATGTATTAATACCAAGAAAATTATTAACAATAATTAAAATTTAGAGAGCGTTAAACGTGTGCATAGGAACCCACGTCAATCATAAGTGTCTTTTTGATTTTTCGGTCTTCTACTCGTCGAGTGCGTATGTGTGTGTATCCAATTGCCGCGTTTGAGAATCCACATCGGATGCATCTGACATGTTATGAATTTTTTATCACGTGATAGAGAATTAGATCTGAATGTAGATGTAATAAACAAACGCTCTAGACTTTATTTGGTCACGTGATAAAATGTCAATGACAAGTTAGAAGTTTATACTTATTAAATTTGACTTTTGAGACTACAAATCAATCTAAATTTGAAATATAAACAAAAATTAAACAAACTAGTCACTTTTATATTCATAACAAAGGATAAATTGACAAACAAGACTTCACAGAACACTTACTTTCTGGCATGGAACGAACATCTCATTCACATCTCATTTCAAATCGAGATGTAAAAAATGTAATCTGAACAGGTATATCTGGGATAAACAAACGCAGATGTAGATGTAGTAGATGTATCCGATGTGGATAAAAAAACGCTCGAGATGTAAAAAATGCATCCGATGTGGATTCTCAAACGCGGCAATAATCCAAGTATCGCTTAGGCAGTGGTGGCGTCTTGAATATTGCACGAATCTAACACGGCAGTTCTCGAAACTCCTATCATCGGACTTCGGCTCCTCTGCATCTATAATATACATCAACAACTTAGTAATCTCAAATTAAATAAATGTAACTGCTTTTTATACTTTTAGCAGTTACCCATCATAGAAGTATGCTGACCCCATGCTACAAGGTATTGTTTCAACCTTGGAAAACAAAATTTATTAAGGATCATGGAAGTATGCTGACTCCATGCTACAAGGTATTGTTTCAACCTTGGAAAACAGTATAGTTACAACCTTGGAAAAAAAAATTTATTAAGGACCATGGAAGTATGCTGACTCCATGCTACAAGGTACATAAGGAAAGTGCAGGAATCCTTTGGGTAATGGATTTGTAAGTTTCACACCTACAGATGAAATGAAATTCACGACATTTTTAAACATGTTTAGACAAAAACAATTGAAAGGTTATTTTTTTTATATGTTTATTCAATAAAATTATTATCAAATTTTAACCCTAACCTCATAAACTCTTAAATTAACCAGCCTTCGATGTCACACTAGTAAGGTTAGTATGATAAAATCATGAAAAAAAAAACGATAATTTCTACACCATGGGGCAATTTAATTTTGGTCATCTGGCAACCATAGATAAATTAATATGTAAGATAAATCGTTTACATGCACGGCACTGGTAACACGTTTAGTTCCTCAGCATACTATTTGGAGCCACCATCGCACATTACACAATAGGCTTGACAGTTAAAGGCAGCACAGAAGAAGAAAATAAAAAGAAGAGTGTCTAGTTTTCCGCGGTTCATTCAAATGTACTTTATTATTTATTTATATTTTTTCGGAATTCATTACTCAAATAAAAACTAATATTTAAATTAAAATATTGTATTTAACATAAATATTAGTTTTTTAAAGTAATAAAACTCCAAAAAATATAAATAAAGAAATATTTATACTAAAATACTTGAAACACAGGTATAGTTTAATCATTTAATACAAGTAAGGTGCATTTAAACGTTTATTACATACATAACATATACTCGATATTACATAACAATAATTATAAGTGAAATTAATAGTAATCTCCTCTCATTCTTGGAAAATGGACCTATTTTCGATGCAGGTGTTATGTGTTTTCTCAGGGCGTTTTCTATAAAAACAAAAAAAAGTGTACATACCTTATTGAACAATTTCTCTTATCAAAATATTGCCAATTCTTATAAGTACAAGTTAATTTTAATTAGTTTATAAACAAAAATTATTTCTCATAGTTCAATAGTTAATTTGAATTTTATTTTAACTGTAAAACAAATCTGTTCTAGTTGATATTTATAACAAATTAGAGTTTAAAATTTCTTTTCATTTTTGACAGCCAACAAAAGGATGTCCTTTAAATTCTGTAATAATCATTAAAGTTCGCAAGCCCTCTCACCAAGGCAAGGTTTCAATCTAAGAGGGGGAAAAAGTGAAACTTATTTACTATTAATTATATTGAAATTTATAAAAATACTAGTTAATTTAACAATCAAATTATTTAGTATAGGTTTACTGCAATTTGGAAAATGTAGCTTAATTGATTAATCTCTTTAACAAACAAAATTATTATAAATAAAAAATTAAGAATTTGTTAGTACTTACCAACTTTAGCCAGTAAAGAGCAGCAACTCCGAGGTTTGAAAAAATCTTCTTTCGAGAATTTGCTTTTTGTTTACTGTTGCCCGCATCCCACCACGAGAAGGTAAAGTAGTGGACTAACACATTGAGGATGCTTTTTTATTTCATTTTTTTCTGTAAAAAGCATTTACAATTAGTCGTTTACGTTTTATGGCAATTTTGCTAAAAGACTCTGGCAAAAAATGATCTTCACAAAGATAGCGAGTTTTATTATCAAAAGTTAAATTTAAATACTTAAACCAGTTCTCTCGAATTTTAACATTAGAAGGAAAATGAAAAAAAAAAGGTTTCATTTGAATAACCAGCTTGTTGAATATTAGAATACCTATTTAAACAATTAGGAGCTGAACACGAATACTTAGTTTCACCTTTCGATGCTTTGCCCGGGTCGGACATGTTTTGATATTGTTACAAGTTACAAATATATTAAAAAAAGAATTGAACATAGATTCAAAATGAAATTACCTATATTGGCTAAGAAAACAATGATAAACAAAGTCCTTAAACAAATCTAACACCTAATATTGAATTAAATTGTTAATACTTACTAATTACATCAAATCATCACTTATAAATCTTCTTAACCTAAAAATAACTTTCATAAAATAACTTTCATTTACTTATATTGTTATGTTGTAATTTGGCGTTGGCCATCATTTCGCCTTTCGCCGCCATTCCGTTTTTCATTTTTACAAGGTTGTCGAACTTCTTTTTAAAATATCCCATCAATAGTATGCAATAGTATGCCATTGTATGGATGGTATCGAGCTTGACAAAAAAACAACAATATGTTTGAAATAATTCTAATCTCATGAAAGTTTATGGAAACTGGCAACATCGCTTTCATCTTATTGCGATGGTGGCTCCAAGTAGTATGCTGAGGAACTAAACACTTAAAATACTTGTTACCAGTGCCGTGCATTTAAACGATTTATCTTGTTTATTAATTTATCTATGCTGGCAACACTGATGATGGATCAGTGAGTGTAGAAGCGCTCTCCAGCCTGGGGACCTATTTTCAAACCGTGTGAGTACTCATTTCTCTCAAGATTCTCATCAGAAATGTCATACGTCAATGTGGAAACGCTGTTTTTAAAGGCCTCGAGGATTAAAATTCTTAGGAGGATATTAATTAACTCTAAATAAACCGTGAGAAACAATCAGTGAGTTTACACTGGCCCTTAGGACCCTAAAAATACTGATTTACGTTGACGTATGACATTTCTCTCGAGAGAAATGAATTCTCTCGACTTTGAAAATAGCCCCCCTGGTACCCTATTCTCAACTCAGGAGAAGTATGATAAAAAATCGGTAAAGTATTTTACCCAGAACTTCCCTCGATATAGAAATTGTAAAAGCATGGAACTCCTAAGCACTTAAATTTTAATAATTTAAAATTAAAACCATCAAATCAAAAACTTTTTTTCACATTTCTCTCTCCATCGATTTTCCTCACATCCCCAACTAGCCATTCATAAAAGTGTATTTTGGTGTATTTGTAGTGAAGTTCTCATCATCATCTATTGTATAGTCCAGGAGA